TGAAATGTTGACACAAAGTTAAGGGTGGCTGGCAATTTCAAAATATATGAGAAAAAAAACTGAAAAATGGAGATATTAGGTATTGTTTCAACAGTGACAGTTAGTATAGCAAATTGTAATGATTATGAACCATTTTCATGGAACTAAGTCAATGCTTAGTATTTCACAAATTGATCAGTTATGACTATCAAATAAATAAATCATTATTAACAATCTGCAAAGTAAATAAAGTAATTCAATAATCACAAAGGAAATTTAACCATTCAAATGTTAGCATTTATTTATGCACATGCAACAATTATCCAATCATTATCAGTCATAAACAAATTATTAGAGAATTGCTGTTTATTAGGGCCTGTTATAAAATGTTAATGGCTGTTGTGTTTTAAGTTTTACAACCTTTAAGTATCCGTAAGTAGCTTTTATAAGTTTGGTTACCACTATTAGCTCATTGTGCTCCAGATAAGAGTATTTTCTAAATAAATAATAATAATAATAATAATAATAATAATAATAATAATAATAAAGTAAATGTAAATTACTTAAACTGACTGTTCCACTTCCAAAATAGAAATGTTGGTCTTTGTTTCAGAATGTTTGGTCAGTATGCTTTGGTAAACAGCTTGCCTGGCAACATCTACAAGTCACATGCTTTCACTGTGTCAGTGTGTTGGCATCGTTCTTTAAACAGTAAAGTATTTTAATTATTATTATTTTTAATTGCTTTCAGGAAACCACAACTCCATCAAATAACTTTCAATTCCTTAGAATATATATTTGGTATGATTTTCCAAAAGAACAATGGTGGCATACCTGGTCCTGTAGCTTGTCTGGTCTTGAGAGGTCAGGTGTGACAGGGTGAGGTTTACTGCCTTGACATAGATGGAGAAACAGAACATTAGAATTACTGAAAAAAGGAGAAAATTACAAAATATTTTGATTCTTTAATTAACTTCGGCAGTGTTCACAAATTTTCCATTTCATACAGAAGCAGCGCAATGTGACATTCCAGACAGCACACAAACCCAGAGCCAGACCCATCACAACAACTAGAGCTGAATGGTGAGGCACAGAGTGAGCTAGAAAAGAGAGATCAGACCTTAATTACATACACTTTTAATAGTTTCAGCTCTCCTGTAAACCTTGAGAATGGTTGCAGTGGAGGAGAACAAAGACATTGCTTTACCAAAAACTGTGTGGCACATACATTACTGTTAGAGTCAGAGATCATCCTTCATGTGTTTAATATCCAATGAAAATTGGACATTAAATATAAATTAGTAATTTTATAATTAATTTATTCAACATCAGGAAAAAAAGCAGAAAGCATACTTTTATCAGAAAATTACACAGAAACATCCCTAACTAAATATAATATAGTTTTTACAATATTTAGTGTGTCCATTGTTTATCTTTATTAATAGATGCATTTTCAATTACTCTAAGAAGTCTGCAGGGATATTTTTCCACACCTCCAAAGTTCAGTCCTAGAAGTTGGTTTTGCATTTTCTGCTTCTTACCATTCAAGTAATCCCAAACACATTCAATGATGTTGAGGTCTGGACTCTGGGGTGGTCAGTTTTAAGAATGTCAGCAACTTCTTTGTTTGATTTGCAAATTCAATTTGTCATTTCCCTTTTTTCGCCTATGGCTTCTTGACTGCTACTCATTCTTTCAGACCCACAGCGCTGTGTTGTCTTCTCACAGTGGAAGGATGGACAGAAACACCTGTGGATTTTTTCAGACCTGAAGCAGCTTGATTTTCTCCTCTCTCTGAAAGATGAAAGCTTTAAGTGCTGTTTATTGTTGGGGCAGTTTTGGTGGTTTATCAGTTCTTAAGTGGTTGTTTTAAGAGTCCCATTTTTTCTGTACATTTTAATTTTTTAACTCCAGTTTCTGAAACTCTTTTTCACTTATGGTTCCTTTGACTTTTTACTTAACCATCATTTTGACTGAAGCTCATATAAATGAGAAGCAGGGCCATATTAGTACAGTATACAGTACTGTATAGTTCAGTGCAGTTCATTTGAACTCAGTATCTTTTGTAAGAATCTCCACTTATTTCTGACAATACAAAAATGGCACAGCCATCTAGAAAGTAACTGATGCAACAATGAACATCTCAGCATTGTGTGCACAGTTTTTAAAATGTTCATCCTTTTTAGCACCTACACATTTCCACAGTTGATCCACAGCCCCAAATGATCCTCCCACAAGCAGCCACAGCGCAGTAGTAAGTTCCAGTGTGGTGGTGGTCGAGGATGTTCTTGGAGAAGTTGTACACAGAGCTGTGTGTAGAAGAGCTGATCTCACACTGACGGCTGCTGCTGTTCTGATGAGTGTAAATGATTTCAGGAAAGGATTGTCCTGCAGCAGCTCTAAACCAGAGCACTCGGAGTTCTGCTGCTCTGATCTCAGAGAGGACCGTGCACTGCAGAGTGACCGACTCTCCTGGAGAAACTGACCCCCATACTGGAGTTTGGAGCACTGATATGTTTAACTAAGGATGATCTGGTTGGCATAATACAAAAGTTTTTAGACATCGTCCATTGTGCATATGAAGTTGCAAAGTTCTACTAGTATAAAATAGTGTAGTTATAGTGTAGCTATATTTTTAAAAGATTTTGAATATTTAGCATCATAAAACAATTAAACTAAGCCTAGACCATCTAGAAATGCAATAACACTCACAATAGATTGACACTGTCTACTTGTTTCTTATTTTTTTGTACATTATTTGTACATAATTTTGACAGAACTTGAATACAATTAACAGTGTTATGCATTGCAAATAGCCCCTGTAATGATAATAACACGTAATTTCCATGTGAACAGACAGAGTGTGGCTACACTGATTAAACCCTTTAATGGCCAGGACCGGCCAGTAGGTCAGGAATTGCATTAAACACTTCTTTAATTTCAAAATAACAGTAATTTTGTATTGTAGTTCATGTTGTCACTGAATAATAAGGCTCATTGATGATTTAATGGTGTTAAAAATACAGATGTATAATTACCTGTAATAGCTAAGAATGTTCCAGTGGAAAACTTGATCATCTTCATCACAGATATCCCACAGTAGTACATCGCTTCATCATCTTTTGTGGGGTGTGGTATAGTCAGACTAACACTGTTCTCCACTCTCTCCAGTTTGTTGAGTTTTGGAAATGTGATGAAAATACTGCTTCCATAAATGCCCCCTTGATGCCCACCTCCTGAGGCATTTGTCCTAGTGGCTGTTTGTACCAAAACACGTTTTCAGTACTCTGATGGCCAGCCAGTGTGCACTGAAGGGCAACGGCTTCACCAGGCTTAGCAGATACAAACAACGGTTTCTGGTAAATATCCAGCGTTTCTGCAGCATCTATAAAATAATTACTGACCAGTCAGTTTTAAACAAAACTATTAGTATTTAGTAAAAGCAATTTAAGATTAATTTTATAAGATTATTACATAAGATTAAAAAAAAAAAAACAATAAAACGTACATATTTCACAGGCAGTCAACATCAAGGCTGAAACCGTCCTCATGACTGAAATGACTGATACTTTGAGTAACATGTTTGAAAGGAAGTGATTGACAAACTAGGCTGGTTTTGCCTGATGAGCTTACAACATTCTCACCTCATTGGCCTGCACAGGTAATGGGTAACAGCAAGAGCCTTTTTTCTTCATTTCTCCTTTTTTCTTTTGTTACATAGTTTGACCACCAGAAGCCCCCCTGGCTTCCTTTCTAATCTTGCTGTCTATCCCTGGTGGAGAGTTCATGCTAATAAATGTTCATTTTGATGTCTGTTTCTTCTCTGGGGTGTAAGATTGAAGAGTTACTGTAAACTGAGTCACTTTGATGTTTGTAGATCATGTTGTGTTTAATATTGCCATATGAATATGTCCCATTAAAGAAATTTATTTTTTTTTTTCTTTTTATTTCTCTTTGTTTATTTTATTGTGGTTTCATAGAAGAAACAATGCAAGGAACCATTTACTTCCAACATAATTGATCATTTTTAATGAGGAAATATCCAATGCAGTTGACAGTTGTTGTCCAGTACTTGGAATTCCTTCAGTGCTGATCTTTACTGAGTAGATGCCTTTTGGGTAATTTCTCAGATATAACTAACTGCTGTAATCCTGCAGTCTGAAAGGTGCTGTTCCAACACTATGACACTATGGATGTCTCTAAAACCAAAGAATGGTGACACTTGATAGTCCACTGTAGATGCTAAGTATGTCTTTACGTAACATTCAGCTAAGCCTCTCTGAGTGTCCTCCAAAAGTGGTGGGGCGAAAAATATTGTTTCAAAAGTGGCAATTAATAATGTTGAGTGTTAGATCCCTTAATTGTCGTCTTGGAACTGGTACTACAACATATCAGCAATCATGCTGTAATAATGTGTCAGTGACCCGTATAAAACCAATAAAAAATAAAAAGTAAAAAAAGTGTTGTTATACATACTTCCACATTTCATGGAATCATAAACAACTACACAAATTAGTAATGACATCAAATTATTACGACTTTGTAACAGATAATTTACAGTTGGTGATTCCATCAAATCTGGAGACCCTTAGACATCACCACATTCTGGCCATCACTCCTGGTGATGTTCTGTCAAGAACAGAATTCCCGTTTTTTTTTAGAGCTTTTACCTTCAAGCTTATGTTCAGTGAGTGTTCTGCTATGAAAGGACCAATTTAAGTGTTTTAAGTGTCTATTGAATGTTTGTGGTCTCCTGTGTTTGTTATTGCTGAGCTTACAAGCTTATTCTTTTTTCATATCGAGTCTTTAAAGTTTTTTGATGCTTTTCTGAAAGAAACTTTTGAAAGAAACTTTATATTAAGGCATAATAGAGCAGATGGGATCTTCACACAATGATTAAGGAACTGAAAATGCTTATTTTGGCACTTACATAGAAGGAAGACTTGTGGTGGTGAAACATCAGTTAGTCAGGCAGTCAGAAAAAAAGCTGTGATGATTTCCAGCTGATGATGTTACAGACATGTTTCCAGAAAGCTAATCTGATGCTTTTGTCAGCCGTTTCCTCTCAAGTTTACTTCAATGAAAATCTATTCCTTTTATGGTAATGGCTCCAATATGGATTCTCATGTTATCTGTCTATATAACACGTAAGTTTATGAGCTCTTTACAAACAAAGGTTTTCAGTCATTAAGGACTCTAAATTTTTTGGTTTCTTGTTAAATTCCTTTTTTTAAATAAATTCTGTCTTATAGATTCTGCTCAAGCTGTGGATCTTTCTGAGGCATCTTTTGTCTCAGCTGAGTCTGGAGAAAACGTTACTCTACTCTGCAAATTTGTGGAAAAGTCTGGTCAAAGCATTAAGAGTTGGGTTTGGTACAAACAAAGAGCAGGACAGGAACCTCAGGAAGTAGCAGTGAAGTTAATCAATAAATTTCCCAATACTTTATCAAAGAGATTCAAAATAAATCAGAGTTTTAATCTGACTATTGAACAAACTACTAAAGCTGATGAAGGAATGTATTTCTGTGGTGTGGGAGATGGGAACACCATTATGTTTTCCAATGGCACATTCTTAGCTATGACGGGTAATAATATTACCATTTTACATTCTATTATCATATAAACTCGTGCTTATTTGAAAAAAAAAAAAAACAATAATGCACTAATATCTTACACTGTCTTTATTGTACGGACCAGATAAACCTCGGTTAAACATATCAGTGCTCCAAACTCCAGTACGGGGGTCAGTTTCTCCAGGAGAGTCGGTCACTTTGCAATGCACGGTCCTCTCTGAGATCAGAGCAGCAGAACTCCGAGTGCTCTGGTTCAGAGCTGCTGCAGGACAATCCTTTCCTGAAATCATTTACACTCATCAGAACAGCAGCAGCCATCAGTGTGAGATCAGCTCTTCTACACACAGCTCTGTGTACAACTTCTCCAAGAACATCCTCGACCAGCACCATACTGGAACGTACTACTGCGCTGTGGTTGCTTGTGGGAAGATCATTTGGGGCTGTGGATCAACTGTGGAAATGGGTAGGTGCTAAAAAGGATGAACATTTTAAAAACTGTAATAATTTACAGAAAACCTTGTTAACATACCTAGTGAATAACGTTCATAACACATTTGTTAATAGGTAATTAGTAATAATAATAGTGAACTTATGTACAATTCTTTAAGTCAAAGTATTTATTGTAGTGAAATAAAACTGGTTCAATTTCTTGCTACTACATGTAATTTTTTTTGTAGTTTGATCTGACAAATTCATGGTGAAATAAGGAACAAAACCTGTGTTCTTCTAACTCACTCATGAGGTATCAAGAAAGTATTTGAAAACATACTTAGTTTTAACTATATAAATATTTATTTACATTCACTTTAATGTAATTGTGGAGTTTAACTGATAAAAGCAACACTGACTACAGAGGTAAAATGGTATAATAAAATCCTTCATTGCTTTTTTCACAGTACTGTACACTATTTAAACTGACACTCAGACAGTAAAGCTTTGACAACATTATATGTCCTTATTCATATTTTACAATCTTATTCTACCCAGCAGTGGAACAAGAACTGAGAACCTATCCTTATGTGAAAGTATGAATACTTCACATGGAACCATTCTTGAGTGAAAGTCATAAATCATCAACATCGAAACAAATTCAGTCATATAAAAGTAAAAACATTAGTTGCCATTTTAACAAATTAATTAAATTTTATTTATTTATTTATTTATTTATTTATTTATTTATTTAGTTATTTATTTATTTATTTGTTTGTTTGTTTGTTTCAGAGGGGCCTGTGCATCCTGTTGTGATCTTTCTGGGAGCAGCTTTGGGAGTGTGTGTGGTTGTGATCTCTGCTCAAGCCTTTATGATCTGTAAAAGGAGAAACAGTGACCACTGCAGTGGTGAGTGGAGGAGTTTACAGTCTTTTCTTCACATAATCAGAATAATCATAATAATAATAATAACAATAATAATTATAACAATAATAATAATACATTTATACATATCCCTTGTGTGGTGTTGTGGTCTGTGTCTGACCCATTTTCGATGTTTACCAAAATAAAAAATTATGAGACTTATTATTATTTTAACCCCAGATTCCTTGGCCTTTGCTCATTTTCTGTGAAGAACATATAAATAAAAACATTTTCAGTGTCTTCACACTGTTAACCCCCTACAGATTTATATTACACATGTGGTGTTGGGGTGAACCTGTGGGGAATACAAATGTGGAGGTGCTGTGTCCCTTCACTTTGTTCTCCTCTGTTAGCGTGTGTGTATGTGTGCATGTGTGTGTGAGAGAGTGGACAACATGGACAGGCTGCTGAATGGCTACAGCTGCTAAAGAAGAACCCTTCTCTGACCACTTGTGATATTTTAAACATCTGGTATTTTTACATAAATTCTTATGGTTGTATTGTCAATAAACACCAGACCACTGAGTAACAAAAACATCAACACCACACATAGGTTAAATTTGGATATACATTTTTTTGTGCATTAAATAGATTTGTGCAAATTAACTGTAAATGTGATGAAAGTGCTTTACATATTGTCTTAGCAGAAAAGTAATGTTCTGGGTGACACTTTATTTTGAGTGATCGTTTTAGATGAAACAAACACACAGTAAACTCTCAGCAACATGTCAAAGACTTATCAGGATTAGCATTAGGTTTTGGGTTGAGGTTAAGGTTAGGGTTAGGATTAGGGCCAGGGTTAGGGTAGGGTTTTGGTTAAGGTTGGGTAGGGTTAGATTTTGGAAGTAACATATTAACAATACACCTACTTAATGTAAGTAATGTATCAACAGAACATGTACAAGATATTTACTTCAATGTATTCAGATGCTTCACTACTGCTACTTCACTGATTTGTTGATGATGTGTTACTAATAATCTTTTTAGAGTTTACTAATCATCTACAAAGGATCACTTCAAATAAAGTGTTACCATGTTGTCTGATCCAAACCTGATCCTGTATATTCTTTTTTCTGCCACAGTGAGAAATCAACAAGGTTCAGCAGCAGAAAACACAACCAGTCAGGTAACACCTGTGTTCTGTAACACTTTCAGAAGATGCTGATACTGTTTAATCCACACAGAATTTACTGAACCTTTCGTGTCCACTCCACAGGCCCAGGCAGCTGAGAATCTGAATTATGCTGCCATCAATTTCAAAGAGAACAAACCCAAAACTGGACGAGTGAAGAGAGAACAGCCTGAAGACATTGTGTACTCTCAAGTGAGAAGCTCTAATGCTAAAGCTCATCGTTCTCATCGCTAGATCTCTTTCCTTTAGTGAGCAGTAGTGAAGTTTGGGGATGTTTTTATTTTACTGGGATAGAGCTGCACATGATCTCCAGGTTAGTTTTGTGATCTTTATCTTATTATTTCTCTTGAATATAGACTGGTGTCTGCAGCTGTCTGCATGTGTGTGATATTTTGGTCCCCACCTTGCTCAAAACTGGGTGAAAAATGTGCAGTTTAGGATGAAGTTTCAGTTCTCTAAAGGAGTGTGTGAGGACATTTTTAGAGTGAGTGTGGTCACTACAATCTTTCACCTGTAACAGACTGGCATGAGTTTAGGCTGATGGCGTCTGATATTGTGCAACTTTCATAGAAGTGTGATGTATTTTTTGAGGCTGTCTAAAGTTTTGACAAGAAAGTTTCAGGTGTAATGAGAATTTAAATGAATAATTTGTTCTTATACAGCACCTCTTGTTTATGGAATACATTGATTTTTTTCCTTTGTGTGTGTGTTTTTCTAAAATGTTTTAAGAAAATAGCTGTCTACATAGCTATGCCTGTGTTATATCAACCCAGAAAGTAAATGCAGATAGAAGCCTTTTTTATGATTATATGTCTGCATGCTTTGTGAAATAACACATGTGGATTCTGAAGAATTCTCAATATTAGGTTAAAAACATATAGAGATTAATGGGAATGTCAAACATATTATTTCCTTTTGTATAAAACAATAAATAATATGCCATCTTGTAATGGGATATAATCAGTAATGTTCTATTAATTCTCATAATAACTGAGATGTTTTATAAACTGAAGTGCCATGATATTAAGCAAATACAACTAAAAGTGTCTGATTTTTCATATCTTCAAGATATTTAATGCAGGTTTAATGTTTCACACCTATTTTAGTACAATAAATACACACTCTAACACAGCTGCATGTTTTAGCAAGTGAAAGAAATATATATGTATAATACATGTATGTATTGTCACTGCCCAAAGACAAACATTCACTAAAATCAACCTCCAAAATAGTAACTTTACATTTTGTTATATTTTATGCTTTATTCATTTAAGGATTTTTTTATGTTTTTTTTTTTTATTATTATTTATTATTATTTTTTTTTTTAGCATTTCCATTGGGCTATTCATCATGAAATTTTCACACAGTGTAAAGGGCCGATGCTGTGTTCAAATGTTAGAACAAAAAACAAAAATTGGCAAAATAGAGATGTGTCTTTTTTGTTTGTTATTGTTTTTTTTTTGTTTTTTTTTTCTTTTTTTGGACTGTGACCATATCTTTAAACATATCTATTGAAATTCACTTCATTCTCAACAGTGTTAGAGTTGGGTTTAGAATGAAGTGTAAAAATAAATGTGAATTAAATAGATATTCAAAATTATTTAGAATCTAAGTGTACTATCCTAATAAAATGTTATCTAAAAATAATCTGGGACAAGAGGAGAGCCTCTAAAGTGAGAGCTCCAATGCCACTTCTCATCATACACATTGCTAGGCTCTCTTTTCTTTTATGAGCAGTAGTAAAGTTTGGGTAAAATTATTGACTGTATTGAGAGTCTACATGACATCAGCTCCACTGTGATCTTTGTGTTTGTGTTTGTGATCTTGAACACTTGAACACTTTATTCTGGTTTCTCATCTGGTAGATTCATTGTGTTTCTAATGCCAAGATTTATTATATTGTGCTGCACTTTGCTCAGGTCTCCACTGTTCTGTGTTTAAACTGAAAAATGTCCAGTGTCAGTTCTCTGTAGGAGCCATGTGAGTCACTGTTTCTGAATGTGATAGTTAAAAATTTTTCATACTTTTTTTTCCTCACACAAACTGATGCATGAGTTCAGACTGACAGTGACTGATATGTTTATACCTGGAAGTGTGGCTGTGATCAGAAGTTGCTTTTTTATACATTTCTTTTTTCACATTACTGTCTCAAACTGCTATTTGGAGAACTGAAACTTGTTTTGACAGTTGACAATATTTGTGGTACTGAATTTAAATGGGAATGAAAACTATGTATAAGCATATATTCAGTGTCATTTTAAATTACACAATGACTTTGACTGTGTCTGGATGTGAGTATTCTTTAACGCAGTTCTTTAATGTTATTTTCACTCTTCCATCTTTTAGTTTTCATTTTTACCCCAATTGAACAAATATTTCCGAAATCTGTTTATGATCTGAATTCTGTTGTACATGTAAGTAAAGACTGTGCTGGTTTATTAACTGATGCATTCAACAATCTGCAGAACTGTGAGAGTTTTACAGAGTTGTGGACAAGATTGATAAAAATATCACTGAATATTGAATGACTTTTTATTTGTCATTTTATCAATCAATGGTTTGCTAATATTTTTGTGCAAAATGCTTAGAGACTTTGTAATTAAATAAAAATGCTATTAGATTAAATAAAAATGCTATTAGATTGATATTTCCTTAAAGAATCTTTAAAGAAAAATCACAGTTGGAGCATGAAAATGTGGACAAAAACAAATTAAAGGAAAAGGATAAATATTTTATTGTGTGTTTGGATGTTCAGAGGCCTAAATGAAATAAACAAGTGTTGCTTCTGTTGCAGACTGCCATAAACTTCAAAATCAATCATATGTCTTATTTCTTTCAAAAATATTTAAATATGTATACAGTACAGTTAAATATACACATACAGTCGATGATCTCTTTTATTGCCTAAGAAGAGAAAACTAATTCCAGTTACAAATACATTATTGCTATTAATACTAAAGTAAATATATTCTGCATGTGTTCATTGGTTATCACTATCACACTTTAGATTCATGATACAAGCAGTTATTCATTATGTTGTAATTATATTGTTATTACACTGTAACTACACAATACAAACAGCATTCTGCAAGCATTGTTGTAATTGATAATACAAAACTAAGAAATTTATCTTACATTTTTTATCATTGCTAACATACTAAATTTAGACGTAACACACAGTTAGTGAAACTGGACACTAAAAGAGCAAAACCTCAACCCAGATCTGCACATCTATAAGCTCATTCTCAGCCTCACACTTTTAGCAAAACACTACAACATGTGATTTGCAAACAACTAAACACACTTCTTTACATTAGACACAATCTAACATCATGACACTTCTTGGCTATTTCAAGGCACTGCCTTTCAAAATACCATACCTGTGAACCAACTGATCAAACATGGCCATCAGGTGTACAAACACTTAGGTGATTAATTTTAAACTCACCAATCAAGTGTAAGCACTGTAAAAAGATAACTGGTGAGTTTTTATTTTTCTTATTCATGTTTTCTTTTTTGTCTCCACAAATGTTTTTGTTGTGTTTGTGTAATATATTCCATTTAGAAAATGAAAATTCAGAAAAAATCTGAATTTCAGCACAAGACGCCACCTTTGGAAATGCATGGGTGTATTGACTGATGTTACAATGTGGAGAGGAATAAAATTGTTTATCAGTGTGCAGGTTTGGGATGTAATGGAATACAAGTTTTAGAATACAGAAGTATATGTATTCTGTCTAAGTTAAAATTTGTAAAGGCAGTATTCAGAATACAGTTACTTTTTACACTTTTAGGAGCATATATTTAGAACACATTTTCACTGAGTAAAAAAAAAAAATTCAAAAGAAACACCATTGATCCTTGTTTTTAAATCAAACTGCATGTAAAAAAAAAACAAACAAACAAACAAACAAAAAAACATGCTTGTTAGATGAACCTTTAAGAGGACCTCATTTAACAGTTTCTTTACCAAAGGATATTCTGGCTCAAGCCTGAGTAGACTGATAAATAAATGTGATGATCAGTTATTAATCTCAGTGTTACTGAGCTCTGCTAAAGCCTGAGTAGACTGATAAATCAATATGATCAGTTATTAATCTCAGTGTTACTGAGCTCTGCTAAAGCCTGAGTAGACTGATAAATAAATGTGATGATGAGTTATTAATCTCAGCGTTACTGAGCTCTGCTAAAGCCTGAGTAGACTGATAAATAAATGTGATGATGAGTTATTAATCTCAGTGTTACTGAGCTCTGCTAAAGCCTGAGTAAACAGATAAATCAATATGAAGCGCAAATTATTAAGGTCAGTCTTACTGAGCTGTGCTTTTTTTTTATTTATTTTTTTGTTTTTATTACAGCTTCTATTTTTGGGATGCTTTTAATCCATTTCTTGCTCTTAGTTTTTCAAAAAAATCTGCATTTTTTTCTATACCTTTAAAATTTATTCTTAGAAATTTGATGCATTTTCTGCTTTAACAATCTCAATAACAAATTTAGATTTATCAGTTCAGAAATTCCACATCTCACACATTCAGTTTAAGTACTCTAGTACAAATTGTCTTGTTTTTTTATTTTTCTTTTAAATCATTTAGCCGTCTCTTACTGTAAACACATCAAAATTTCATCTTCTAAATAATCAGTAATTTTTCTTTGTGTTTTGACTCCAAAAAGCTCTGAAATTGATTCTTCAATACAGTTATAATGTGTTTATCTGGATTACAGTGCTGGTTGTCCATTTCAGCACTGATCTTCTGTTTCTGAAACAGGACTCTGACGATGAGGAGTTTGATTTCACTGCATCACATTTCTCTGAGAAGATGAAGAGAAGAGCGCTAAAGGAGAAAGTTTTCACCCGAGTGAGATTCTTCCCTGTTTCTGACTACAGAGCAGTTCAGTAAAGCTGTATTACACCACAGAAAAGAAGTCTTACTGAGTTATTATAGTCATGTAGACTCTAAGTGGTCTTTTGATATTGTTATACATTTTTATTTGAATGAATGTTTAAGGTGTACAATCTGTAAGTAAAAGAGTCAAATGTAAAACTTATCAATTAACTATTTTTGCTTGTTTTTCTAAATATATTTCTTCAATTTCTTCTTATATTTCTGCCTAGGGGTATAACCCACACTATAAATCATACTGGAAAGCATACTTCTTGTTCTAGTCATGATTTCTGGTTCACAAAATGCAAAGTGTTTTTGAAAATAAACTCATTAAAGAAGTTTTCATTCCTTTGACATTGTTTGATTACTCTTTCACAAAGATTCATTAAACTAATTAATCAAGCACAAATTTCTTCATCAGCATACAGAACAGAAGGTATTTTATTATTGTTCAGTGACTTCAGGGACTTCAATGCAAACTGTTCAAGCTATTCTTAGGTTATAGAAGTGTGTAATAAACCTTTGGGCTAATAGAGCATATGTTATATAATATATGTGCTTTTATTAACAAATTCACAACAATAAGAAATAAATAAAAATAAATAAATACTGTTATTAGTTTGTAACTCTTTTCCCAAAAAAAGTCACAGAAAATCAGGTCATTACATATTTTTATACAACTCTGCAAAAACTGAAATAGTTTCTGATATCAACCCTTTTTATTGATTATCATCAGCTAACTAATTTTTTGTCTGTGCAGCTAAAAACAACAGTCATCAGTTACACAACATTAGATTTTAACAGCTCAGTCTTGTTCTGAATCATCTGAAGGAATCCGCCAGAAGGAAGAAGAGAGCTTCTCATTAGTAATCAGAACAATCACTTACTTAAGGAAAACAGTCCCACTATTCAGTGTTCTGTCTTGAGTTCATGCTGATGTGAGCTGGAGGATCTCATTAATCTATACACTCTCAGAAAAAGAGGTGCTAAACTGTCACTGGGGCAGTTCCCCTCTTGTCACTGGAGTGGTACCCTCATTTAGTCAGGGAATATATAATACCATAATCCATTTAATTTTCTAAGTT